ACCGTGGCGCTCGCAGCCGTATGGACACGTTCTCTTCATCCTCGTCCTCTTCGAGATCGTGTTCTGAGGCTACCATGGTCGTGTCCCCCTCAGCGTCGCGTTGCGATGCGTTTGGTGAGGTATCTTCGACCTCCATCTTCCCCTCCGCTTCTGCTTCTGTATCGGGCTCCGTGTCTTGTTCTTCCTCTCGCCCCTCACCGTCCGGACGCCAATCAGGATCCGCGTCGTCTTCCTCGTCATCCGACGCCTGCTGACGCTGGGTTCGGCGTTCGGCGTTCTTCTCCGCCAGCTCAATATACGCGGAGTAATCAGCAGGCGTCTCTGCCCCAGACACGCGTCCACCAAGCGTCTTCACGACCTGGCCACCACGCCGAATGAATTCCTCGCGCTTCTTCTCTTCCTCCTGGCGAGCTTGGACAGCCGCGCGTTGTAGAAGGTCTTTGTTCAACTCGCTCGTGCTGGTGTATGACGGACGACCACGCGAACGAGATGATGAAGCACGGTCCAATGGGGAGGAGTTTACGGGGCCATCATCTTCGTCCTCATCACTGTCAACTGGCGTCTTGAAACGCACAGTGGGCTCGGTTTTGATGTGTACGCCGGACGCTTGCTTAAATTGCACCATCAGCGCACCAGGATGCAGCGCAATTCCAGCATGCATGGTTTGCTGCTTACGTGCCTCGGACGGACGGGGTTTACGCTCCGACCTTCGCACCGCATCTTGCTCTTCGATTTTCACGCGAAAGTCATTGGGTCTTGCCGGCACAATCTCCAGACCATCGTCATCGTCCAAGTCCATGGACAAATTTGTTCCCCTGCGGGACGCTGTCTGTTCTTGCCTCGCGCGCAGAACCCGCATCTTGATCTCGCGCAACTGTCGACTTTGTTCAGTCTCTCCGACATTCATCTTCGTAGAGCTCTGTGCCGAGTCCTCGGCTGCAGTTTTCCTGTGTGCTTCATGCACCTTCAACAGGTCAGCCGGATCGGGAAGATCATCCGAGTCATCTGCAGGAGGGGGGAGCTCAGCCAGATCCGAGGAAGAAGCCTCATTGTATCCGCTCGGTTGCATGCTGGCGCCCAAGAGGCCTGTAGGTTGGAAGTGTAACTCGGCGTCGACTCTGCTCGCCCTGTCATCAGGATCTTTCGTGACCAGGGCAGACACGCGTGCAGGTGTCTCTTCAATTGAGTCGTCACCCATGATGGGATCGTCTGTCAAAAGGGGTACCTTGCCGAGCGACGGCACGGTGGGAGAGGAACTAAATTGCCCGATTTCGGAGTCCAGCTGCTTCTGTTCAGACCAAGGCTGAAGCGGCCACTTTGGCGGGTTGTGTTTTCGACCTTGTCTACAGAAGCGAAAGAAATAGTGACAAGCCCAGGAGAACGAGCCGAAGGAGGCAGATGGACGTAGACGTCAGTACCGATGACATGAATAAAGCCTCATGAACAGACTGACTTAATGGTTTCAAACAAGTTCTTGACAGTGTATGTCTGCGTATGAGTGCTATCTCGTGGAATGACGGCATGCTGGCCAGCAGCAAGACGCGCGCTCTCTTTAACCATCTCTCGCCGTTCCTTTTTGGTAGGTGGCTATTGCTGACTTTCAGCAGATTTTCCCAATAGACGGGTAGTATGTAATCACTTACTTTGACCTTCCTGGTCTTTTTATTTCGTGGCACCGGGACAGACGCGTCGGCTTCACCTAGGCTGGCATCTTTCGCGCCACGCTGACGTCTGCTCTTCGCGGTAGCCTGGGGTGACGGCGAATGTTCGCGGAAACTAGTTTCCGATGCTTTCGCTTTGCCTTTTCCCTTGTTCTTGACAAGCTTCGGCACGAGTATATTCGGAAACTCTTCATCTGAAGATGGTGGCGTGGGCGACGAGCGACGTTTTGGCGTAGTGATGAAGTGAGGATGCGCTGGCGAGCCTTTCGTCGACGCGTCGTCGGACTCGTTGTCCGAGTCGTATATCGCCATACGACCTGTTCTCCCCCGAGAAACGCGTGGACGAAAGGGAGACGGGGAGTCATTAACGACATCCGTGTAGTCCTGCTGTTTCTGCGGGGGTGGCGACGGGGTGCGAGGTGCATCATCACTGCCATCGCTAGGCTCGCCTGGGGCGACACTACTACTTGCCGGAGGTGCATCAGAGTGGCTACTGGCAAGGACTGCTGGATCTTTAGATATAGTAATAGATAATGCATTCGCGTCTTCATCATCCGAGTCTTGATCCATCATCTGCAGCCTTTTCCTCCAGTCCCACTGGAAGCCACCAGATGCTCCATCGTCGCGTTCGTCATCACTGTCCGCATGGTTCTTGACCTGGTCAGCGGTAAAATAAACTGAAAAATCGTGTTAACATCAATACGCACTGTCTTTAAAGCACCTGCTTCGTTGATCGTCGCGTCGCCGGTCGCGTCGGGCGCCTGCTTACGGCGGCCATAAGTCGTGGCGACGCGTGGTTTGGTCGGGGCGGGCCGTGGAGAAGTGGTCGCTGTCAATGGCGTTAGTTCAGGTTCGCTTGCGTCCATCACCACTGTAGGCACGGTGAGGAGCGTATAAGGTGGTCGCACAAGCGAGAATACGAATCAGCCAGACATCGGAGTTCAGCCGACACCGGCAGGGGAAGAGGGCCACTCGTCACGCGTGACGGTACGCGTTTCGGGTTAGCATCACGTGTTGGTTCCAACGCGTGTCACCCCTGTCGGACAAGAAAGTCGATGAGGATCGATGCCAAAGAAATGGGACGATCAGTGCGATACCATGCGTCCGAGTACAGTGCTCAGACCCAAGTCGATGTATCGGCAACGTAGAAGCTGTTATCGTTCCACCAGCCAGTGGCAGCGAGAGAAGCATTAGAATTTACAAAGGAATCAGAATGTGCTATGATAACAGTACCCGCGAAGAGCACTCCGTGACTCGATCCAGATGCTGCCATGCATACCTTGTGAGAGAAATACGTAGCATGCTTGGAGAAGCCGAGGTGCAAACGTGGCTCATGGCAAGCAAGAGGAGAAAACAAAAAGCACCAATGACTCAATTTATCAAGAGCTTCGGTACCGAAATTTCCAAATTACCGTATGAGGCACGAGACCCAACGTTTTGAAGTTCCTTTCAATTTGGCCTTGCGACACTTTCTGCTGCTCTTACCATTGTTTATACCAGCTTGCGCCTCTTCCATTATCGCGATGACTACTCTACTCTTCAGCTACCCTGCTCGGTCACCCGGTGAAATAAGTCCTAGCGCGAAGACAGCAGTAACACGATGGAATTTACGTTTGACTGCGCAAGCACTGTACGGACAGTGTTGGGGCAAACGGGTACAAAACTGTACCTACACAGAACTGTCCACTCATTTGGCTGCCCATGAACGCTGCCTGATGGGACTAACTGATGGAACTCTTAAATCCCGCCGTGTCCGAGCCTTTGCCTGCACAAAAATCGACTCAAACCCAGGCTATGTCAAAACTAAGTATCTCGGTCTAACCGCGATGCGCGTACCAGCCACCCCGTCCAACCGCATCTCTCCTAAAAGGCCACGTACTCGGGAGCCTTTGAAGACGAATCTGCAATGCTGTCAGACGGTTGCCTCCTCACAGATTAAAACTGTTCGCCATTCCTTGCGAAGTTGGAGCTTGTGGACCCTAGAGCTGGGGAAAGAACTGCCCATTTACCAAAAGTGAGAACAATACTAAGACGCACAGATCCGAACAATGGCGCACAGTCGATGGTGATGACGAGTAGCGCCTCCTGCACTGCGTCGCAATTCCACTACTTAGAGGTGTTCGACAAAAGGCCGGTTAAACCGATATCGTTCGTACCGAATTCACCTGGACTATCTAACTATGTTGATCTCCTGTCTTTTCGTAATTTCTTTGTTCCTTTGGTGGAATGTTCTCTTTTTCGCCCTTCCATGCTTTCGAGCCTCGGGTCTATGAGTGCCACACCATGTCCTCCTGTAGTAAACCAAGTTTGTTATGCTTGTCAATTTTCCACCATATTCTCAATTTTCATCCACCCTGCAGCCTTTCACTGACTAATTCGCAGGTTTTATGATAGATCTTGTTATGGCTTCGCAATGCGCACCGACCATTTGTTGAAAGACCTGATGAATCCGAGTCAGCAGCCGTTGAAAGAGCTCATGGTCGGGAGAAGTCCGCGTCCATATTCACCGCCGGTGCTCTCGAACCTCAGGCCAGCGTGTCCCTGTGCTCCCACACCTGCTGCGTTGTCCTACACTCGTATGTACGCCGTAAGGAGCGCACATATTGCTCTTCGCGAGCTGCATTCCCGCGCATGCAGCCTGTTAGCTACTCTCCTGCTCTCAACGGCGGCATCGGCGTCACTGATGGCAGGTTCAAGGTTCTGCGCGACTGCAGCCTATAGCCTGTGAGCAAGTACTCTGGTTCTTTTTTGTAACATGTCTATGATGTTGCTTTAGAACGTCCACGTTTCCTGTGTTGTGGCTATAATAATTGCGTTCGTGGAAAGCTCGATTTTCACGCCGAGCGTGAAATGCGCATCCCTCTTCCTTCCTTCTTTTTCCGTTATGTCGCGTGCTTCTCGTTCTTCCGCTCTTTAGACTTCTATGTAGTCTGAAACCCGCTTTCGGGACGTCTCCATCTCCGCGGATGCACAATATGCTTCTCATTAGTCCATTTACATCTCACGGCTTCTTCTCGTTCTGCCCCTTCTTTTAGAATTTATTACTGTCCCTCCCTTCTCCCTTTGGGGGCTTCTCGCTGTTCCTGCATTCCTCATCAACATGGTATGTACACTTTTTTTTTTTTGAGCTTCTCCCATAGGCAACTAACTCCGGTTAGCCCCCACAGGGTCGTTAGCGAAATAACGGAAGGTGAATGTCCCCCCTGAGGAAATGCTTCACTGTACACCACTTACCGCGGTAGTGTGGGCCTTATCCCTGCTCTTGGTGATCCATTTGATTTGCAGGGGAGTATGATTTGCAGGGGAGTATGTACACATTGGCCCAAAGCAACTGTTGTTGGTTCAGTGGTCTAATGGTTATGATTTCTGTCTCACATTCTACACTAGTACTAGTTTAGCAAGGGCACAGAAGGTTCTGAGTTCGATCCTCAGCTGAACCATCTGTGTATGGATGGAAACTTGTTTTCCAGTGCACGACCATAAAGATATAGGTGTCACTGCTTTTATGTAAATTTGATGTGCTCAATACTTCAAACCATATGCATCACTCCCTGTCGGGGTCTGCGTCTTTGTCCAATTTTTTTGTATTTCAACTTTTGTCGTATCTATATACCCCACTTTGTTTTGGGTTACTTTTGTTGCAACACCCTGCCCTGCTCGTTGATCATTGCGCTCCCCAGAATGCTCATTGTTTTGGATCTCATATGTATTTAGATCCCAGCTTGCCTGATCCCACTGCTTCTCCAACGATACACTTACATCTGCTTCTGGCACTTACCGGCAATGGTCGTCGCTCCCGCTCACATCACAAGGAATTCGCTTGCATGACTGCAAAGGGCGTGTCCGTACATTGAGCAACAAGCCTAAGGAGCCTGTCGTGACTCGTACCAGCTATCATGATGCGGACACGCCATTATGTCGGTGTGTGTCTTATGATCGTGGGGTGGCTTGTCCAGTTTCCATTGTCGAAAAGAAAAGAAAAACACTCGCCGATGCCGCGAAATGCACTCGTCGTAACCAAAAAAAAAAAAAGATACTGCCGTCATTTGGCTGCCTTTTGCCTGAGAGCCTGACGCTGAAGTCTAAAGTCTATCCTGAGGATTGGAACACAGCCTAATATCAGACGCCGGAGTACGGAGACTGAGGAGCTGGCGCAGCGCACCATCACGCAACGTGACGCGACCACCGCCTGTCGCCGCCCAAGAGAAACCATTTGGAAAAGTAGTGGTTGCCTGCAAATGGTCGATGAACGCTTGAACTACACACCAGTCACTCAACACGGGGCTGATACGTCCCTGGTACGAATGGCTGCATTTGACCAAGAAAGAGAAAGAAAGAAAAGCATTCGCCGTCTTGCCGTCATGTGAAAGTTTAACTCGTGTGTCAATTGGTTTCCGATGTCTTTGGGTGAGATCCCTGAGAGCACGATGAAGTAAACTATGAGATGATAGGAGTGGACGTCATGAACAAGCAGGAGACGCGGGAGATGAATGCAAAACTCGCGGGACAGAGGAAGGCGGCTGAGTGAGTGTGGCTATCGGAGTGGGAAATGAAATGTGCCCGATCAGTGATCCGCGGAAAATGGTCGATCATCGAGAGAAGATGTGTGTACGTCGGGGCAGACGACGACAAAGACCGCCGCCCGTCCCCGCGCCTCGTTTACTCGCACCCTCCGCAAGACCGCGACAGCCGTGCTAGCTGTCAGGTACGATCCAGGTGCGTTGATTCGACGGTGAACGCGTGGATCGAACTGAGCGGAGATAGATACAGAGAACATGTCGCACAAAATAGTCCGAACAGCAAACGCGCCGCAGGTGACGCCCGACGATACAGAGCTTGCCGTCGCGCAGGCGTTGGTTGACCTCGAGAACAACGTGCCTGAGCTGAAGAACGAGCTGCGTGCACTGCACATCAGCGCAGCGCGCGAGGTGGACGTGCGCGGCGGAAAGAAGGCCATCGTCGTCTTCGTGCCCGTTCCCATGCTCAAGGCCTTCCAAAAGGTTCACGCACGCCTCACCCGTGAGCTCGAGAAGAAATTCTCCGACAGACACATCGTCTTTGTCGCACAGCGTCGTATCCTCCGCAAGCCCACCCGCTCCGCCCGTGTCACACAGAAGCGCCCGCGCTCCCGCACCCTCACTGACGTGCACGACCGCATCCTTGAGGATCTTGTGTACCCCACCGACATTGTTGCCAAGCGCACCCGTGTTGCGACTGACGGCGCGAAGCTCCTCAAGGTGTACGTACAACTCATGCGCTGCGTTGGTTCATATGCTGACTGCTGCCATACAGCTTCCTCGACCCGAAGGACCAGACTTCTCTCGAGTACAAGCTCGACTCGTTTGCGGCTGTCTACCGCCGTCTCACAGGCAAGGATGTCGTGTTTGAATTCCCCACCGTCGCATCCGAATAGACGTGTGGTAACTACGCTTCTCCCTTCTGGTGTTGAGGCTTCCTTTTTTTGGTGTCGCCCCTTGGCGTTGGATGTCTCTCCCCATTTGACCTTGCTACTGCACCAGGCGCTGCCCGTACACTCTTCACATATTTACCATGTGTATTTCTTCTGTACACCATCCAGCCAATCCTCGCGACGGCTGACTCCGCATCAAAAATAAATTACCATGCGCAGCGTATGTCCCACCCAGTGTCATGCATATGATTCTAACTAAACAGATCATTTTGTCCGTTTGTGTGATTATTCGTCAAGGAGGGAGGCTTGTACGACGTCGGCACAGTACCTTCCTGTTGGTGTTTTCCTTTGTGACTTGAATGCTTCGTCTTGGATTCACAATTAAGATATGTATGGATCGACTCTTCATAGAGAATTCCACAAAAGCGAAATCTAGCCATCTGTAGCCGTGTTGTCGTGTAGCTCGTTACCTTGCAAAACTACAGTCGGAGCGATTTGAATTTTGGGCACATAACATACGAAACGCCGAGGTCGGCGATCAGAGCAGAATTGCCACGGTCCTATGAGTCACAGATAACGATAGGTGCTGCACTTGCCATTCATGCATGATCAGGCTTGCGCTGCCCTCGTACGTGTGTTTCTTGCTTTGGTTTCTTCGCCAGAACGTTTCGTTTTTTGAGGAGACCGTATCTTGATTGTAAGTGTACGGCGGTGTGCCAGTGTGTGGATGGAACAGACAGGGATTCAACGTTCAATAGAAACTTGGACGTGCTATAGAAGTATGCCTGGTCGTCTGCAATACAAGGTCAGTCTTCCGTGCTTTGTTCATGATTTTGAGAGTTGTGCACTGATCCAGGCGTGTTCATGGGGCTTTATTCGCTTTTTCTTTTTTTGGTTTCAATGTCTGTGCGTTGTTCAATGGACTGATGGTATCGTGTGCGGGACGACGGCGGCGACGACGTGAACACTGACAATGGTCACGCAAACCTGGACTGTGTTATCCCATGACGGACCGACGTGAACCACCTCGGTGTAACGACGTACGCTACGTTGACGCCTCGTCATGCACTACCTCTATGACAATCGACCACATCGACGACCGACGGACGGACCCACTTTCATCTCGTTCTTCTCACCGGCGTTTCCTTCGTGGCATCTGTGTGATTGTAATGCCCCCCGGTCACCGGAACGCCTCCCTTCCACCGTTGCGAACATCTATCTACTCCTTTCATACGAACTCATTCCTTCACTCACCGCTCGCAAACAGTCTGCCCTTATCACCGGCGCCGGCTCGTAAGCGCCTTTCCCCGTTTCCTCGTCTCTTCCATCCCCTCACCTTGTCCTACTTGTTTTCCCCTCTTTTTTTTCTGGCAACTCGGCCTTACAGCGGCATCGGCCTTGAAGCGGCGATCTTGTTCGCGCAGGAGGGCGCGTACGTGCTGCTCGTCGACGTCAACCTCGCTGCCGCCCAGGCGGCGGCGGATCTGATCAATGCGAAAATTGAAGGTACGCGTTTGTTCGATGGTCTGTGTCCATCCTTTTCTCCTGCGAACTGTTTTTCCCACGTTCAAATGTATGTGCGTATCATGTTCGCGTGTGTAAAACAGGCAAACGTGCCCTCGCTACGCGCGCAGATGTCGGGAAGGAAGCTGACGTCAAGGCCGCGGTCGACCTCGCGGTGAAGAAGTTCGGCCGATTGGATGTTATGGTGGAGTTTACTTTTTCTTCGCACTTTCGCCTTTTTGTGCTTACTTGGGATTTATCGTGTGGGATTATTCTGTGGATATCGCGTGGTCTGTAGTTCAACAATGCAGGTGCGTGTCCCTCCTCCCTCCAGGCGTACAATATGTTCGCTGACACGAGCTACGCATGCTTAGGCATCATGCACCCTCAAGACGACAACGCGCTGAACACCGAAGAAAAGATTTGGGACCTCACTATGCAGGTGCGTGCCTATCGTCTCTCCCTCTCTCCCACACCAAATGTCGATTTTTTTTCCTGAACCACATCCACCCCCCGGGGACCGCAGATCAACCTGAAAGGCGTGTGGTGGGGCTGCAAATACGCGATCCTCGCAATGCGCAAGAACCCGACTGATGAGGCGAAGGGGCTGCATACGGGTGGGAGCATCATCAATACGGCGAGCTTCGTCGCGATTATGGGCGCTGCGACGCCGCAACTCGCGTGTGAGTGCTCTTGATCTATTCTTCTTTTTTTTTTTTTTGCGATGTGTGTGCTGATTGGCTGACGCTGTACCGTTGACGATTTACATTTACAGATACGGCATCAAAGGTTCGTTTGTTGAAAAAAAAAACCTACTAGCTAGAGTGGTGATCTCGAAAAAAATGGTGTGTAGGGTGCCGTACTCGCTATGACGCGTGAGCTCGCGATGGTGCATGCGCGCGAGGGGATCCGCGTCAACTCGATCTGCCCTGGCCCGCTAAAGACGCGTGAGTTTTTTTTGGGGGTGTTTCCTCCTTTGTACAGAGATATTGGTGGCTCACTACCGCATCCCTCGTTCCCTGTGCGAACGCCATCTTCGTTTTCTGGCGGTCTCTCCCGCACTTGCAATCACACTCGTGTTTCCACTCTCTGGTGCAAAACACGCACACTTGCGCATGCACGCGTCCAGCCCTGCTTATGGATTTTCTCAATACGGCGGAGAAGAAGGAGCGGCGGCTCGTGCACCTTCCGATGGGTCGTTTCGGTGAGGCGGTCGAGGTCGCGCGTGGTGCCTTGTTCTGTAAGTTCCTTTTTTTTTTTTTTTGTTGTTTGTTTTTTGTTCTTTTTTGGCTTCTTGCGTCTTTTTTGTCTTTCTTATTCTCCTCCCACTTGTTGTTTGTTTTTTTTTTTGCAGTGGCGAGCGATGAGAGCAGCTACATGACCGTGCGTTCGATTTGCTGTAAATTTCCTTTCGCCGGCTTATATGCATACTCTGCAAAATAGGGCACGGACTTTAAAGTCGACGGTGGCTTGACATCCGCGTATGTGACGCCGCTCGGCGAGCCGGTTCTCCCACCGCCTGTGAGT